TCTTTATAAACACGTACAACGAATACGAACGAAAAGATGTTTACCTTCTTCGATTCTTTTTCACGTCGAAAAATTATTCCCGGAAAATGATCATCAAACATACAAGTACCGTCACCCAGAAAGTAAACTATTCCCATCAACAAAACAAAACGAAGTACAATTCGATTCTCTATCCCATTAAATAAACACTATACTCAAACACCACATTTATTTACATAGATAAACATCACGGAATTACCCGCAAATAGACACACATTTACACGTACTCGTACCACAGAATATTACACTCCGTATATACGATAAGCTTATTAAAATAATTTCTCTATTTTTCTTCTCTTCCTTCCCCCCGTATTTCCACGCAAATATGAAATGATTCCTTAAATCGAAGGTACGACGGTGTACGAAACGGAACGGGAGAGCCGCGTCGAAAAAGCGAGCGAGAATCGAACGAAATTTGGAACCGTGGCGAGAAGCATCTCGGGTTGCGCGCGAACCATTGTCCGTGCTCGCTTTCAAAAAGTCAACCAAATTAATTTCAATTGCAGACCGCGGCCCGGTTCGTCTCCTAGCAACCGAACGTTAGCGGAGAACGCGTACGTGCTGGCGAGCTGGCCGAATATAAATTGGCGCGGCAAACAACTTGCCGGCAAATTGTAATCGGTGAGCGAAACGCGAATGAAACGCGTCGCGAGAGGAAAAAATATACGAGCACGCGGAAAACATGGAACCGTTTTGGGATTCGTTTGCCTCTTACGCATTAACACGTCGACACCCTATGGTATGGGTGCCACCTACGACCGGCATTAGGATTGCTCGTGTTGGTAGATGGTGACCTGAGGCTGCAAAATTATGGTATTTTTATGCTTAACTTTATTTTCTCTCTCTCTTTTCTTTTTTCTATTTTCTGTGAATAATACGTTTGCTTATTGGTTATTATTGCACGATTTTATTTAGGTAAGGTTGATTGCTAACAGATGAGCAAATTGGATAATTGGATAATTAATGAAAGTTAAAAATAAAATTGTGATAAAAATTTACAAGCTGTGAGATCAAAGGAAGAAAGAAAGAGAGAAAGTTATTGGAAAATGTTGGAAAATAATTCTGGAAAAAACGAGGAAAATTTGCATTTGTCGATCCTGTTCGATATAACAGTTGAATGATATCTTTTTTATATTATTTTTGTTGCTCAGAATTATCTAAAAGATATAAATGTCGGATACCATCGATGACCACCTATGGCCCTTTTGAGACGACAACCGGTGGTTACGTATAACCACTGGCAGTTAACCTCTTAACCTTTTCGTTGTAACTATCTGATCGATAATTTAACATTCGAATATCGTTGCACGAGATATACTGAAGCCGTAAACACATATTAAATGTAAATTATCTGAATAAAAGATTCGAGAATTGGAGCATAGAATTTAAATCTAATTTTTTGAGCAATGTTACATTTACTTTTAATTTTAAACGAACTTAAATAATATGTTTCCCGATATAAATTGTAAAGAAACAATTCCCCCATCCTTTCTTTCATTTTATTTCAACATTTCTCACTCTCGTATACGACGTGAATAATCAAGAAACGAATAAGAATGCCGCTTAGCAACGGCAATAATTCTTTATTTCTCTCTCTCTCTCTCTCTCTCTCTCTCGATAATAGCGAAACGACACGATCGTGCACAAGTCGTGCAATTAAACGAGGATTACCATAATTACAACGATTAAATTAAATAAACAGTCATATCCGCAAAATTATCAATACCTTAATGTCCAATAATTCAAAGCGAATAGCACGCAAACTATCCATAACTAAATGTACAAACTTTTTAATTTCTTAAAAATATATATTATACATATACACGTGTTTTAAATCATAACGGTAAAGAAACAAGCGGGCAAGATTTACAGCATTCTGTATAAATAAAAAAAACGCAGCTTCAAACTCGTTCTCGTCTTTAAAGGACCACGATCGACACCCCCCCCCCCCTCCCCCTTTGCCTCGCGTAAACGAGAGAAACGGTGTGATAATTGAGGACAGGAAGGTCCTTCGTCACCTCTTTCAATCAATCTCGCCTCAAAAGAATCCCTCGGGCGCTTGGGGAACAGAATATAAGGGAAAAAAGAATTTCTCGTTCGAAATTCACCAAACTGATCCTTATTTCTCCGCGAGGAGATGGAGGACGGCGAAGAAGAGGAGGATCCGCCAGGTGGATCCTCACGAGAGATTCCCTCCCCGTCGCCCTTCCCTCCACAATCGTGGAACAAAGTGTTCCACGCCTTTGATGTCGCGGAAACAGCGCGGTGGATGATCGCGCTCGAAGGCGTGGAATTCGGCGCCCGACGAGTGACCACTCGTGGATAAGCGACGAGTGTCTCCGATCGGGTCTAAGGCAAAGGGGAACACGACTCTTTCGTTTCTCGCCAGGTGAGGATCGTTCGGGGGAGAGGAGATGGGGAGGGAAGGAAGCGGAGAAGCGGCGGGGTTGGAAAACAATTAAGGGAAGGCGAGGAGAGGACCGCCTTGTATGATAATGCGTTGTAACCTCCGGCAGAGGAGGGCGATACAGATGAAGAAGGAGGAAGAGGAGGCGATGGGCGGCGGAGATGGAGGCGGAGGCGGAGGTTGCCAAGAAGGATGGGGCGCGGAGTGGTGGGGGCGGCCGCGAGAAGGGGGTTGGCGGAGGTCGTGATTCTTACTTTGCATTCCTTTGTGCGTCCTCCTCAGCCCTCCATCCAAACCCTCCTCCTACAAACCCAGTCATCCTCCTCCCTCTTGAAGCTTGAACTAACGCCCGAGGTTTTAATGCACTTGTCTACTCCACATACCGTTCATAAAGACATATATGCCGTCTGTTGAGCGGGCAGAGGAGGAGGAGGAGGAGGACTGATTCTTGGAAAGAGGAGTGGGACGAAGACAGAGAGGGGGTGACGAGGGTGAGGAGAGAGAGAGAGAGAGAGAGAGAGAGAGAGAGAGAGAGAGAGAGAGGAAGAGAGGAAGAGGGATACGAGAGGTGGTGTTCAGGGGAAGAGGGTGGAAAAAAGGGAGACGGGCCGCGTGCGATGGTGGAAGAAGAAGCGAGAGACGGTGCCCGGCAAAAGAAGAGCGCGGTGAGAAAGAGAAAGCGGAGAGCATAACGATATGAAATGCATTTTAAATTCTAAGCATTCGCCCGCGTCATGGAAAGACCTCGCCTCTTTGCTTGCATAATCCTGACGGTGGTGTATAAAAGTTAAAAAAGAACGGCGGAGAGTCTAACGGGGAGGAATTAAAATGCACTGGTCGAATCAGAACCTTTGCCGGATGAGCGGGAACGGCCTACGGCCACGAAAGTTTGTTTCGTCCAACGAAAGTATCCGTCTTCGACGGGGAACTTTGTCTCGTCGTTTGAACGTCGCGCGTCGTGTTTCGTATGAATAGTTGCGGTGCTCGGGATGCTTTTAGCATCCCATCCCCCCCCCCCCGTGTAAGGCACAAAGTTTAACTGATAGATCTCATTAAGGGGAAGTTGAAGGAAAGTTGATAAGCTTGTGCTCGCGGAACGGTTGTTTTCGAAAGTACTCGAGATTAATACGTCTTTCTGAGAAATGGATTTTTTTTTTTTTACTTCTGTACGAACGAAATCTTACAAATTCTTACAGATGAATGAAAAAAACTTTGAATGAATAAAAATATATAATAATTCGATATTCCTAATTTGAAGAACATTGTTATTACGGAATTTTATAAAAGGTAAAAGGAACCATAGGAAAATTGTTAATTTGAAAATAAAAAGAAAGGGAAAGAAGAAAACAAATTCAAATTCAATTTGAAATAATAAAAATACTTTTTACTTTCGTGAATTATGCATGAAACTAATTTGCATCTTTACTTATTAAAGAATCGAATATTAAATTTGTAATTTTTCCACGTGTCTTTATTTTTCAATACGACAAGGAACTCCATCGATCGTTAAATTTCATATCTACAATTTAATCACGCTCCATCCCGATTAAAAATTATTAAAGTGTTAATTTATATATACGTAGTGTCCACTTGGGATAAAATTATCTAACGAAATCAGATGAAAAACAAGTTGCACTTTTATTAGCCGATCGATGAGGCGACAAGAAGAGAGGGTGAACGAGAGATTTTAACGAGAGGCGGCTGAAAAGTGGTTCGAACAGTCGAAAAGTCGAAAGGAACATGGCAGACAAAAATATTGAAATATCCAGATTGAAAGCTATCTTTCACACGTGTTGCATTCGCTCTTTTGGCGTGTCAATGCGATACATATTTCATCGTATATAAATACCGTTTCCCTCGTTTCTTCTCAGCGAGCGTAATCAATATGCATTCAGTTTCCTCGCGTTTTCTGGTCGCTTAATTTCGCGCTTGTTTCCGCGCGTGATGATTTTCGAGCGACTCGACGATACCGACACTTAGGAAATTACGAATGCATCGTCAAAGGAAGCCGCGCATTCAAAATAGTTGCATTATTTAATCTTTAGATATGAAAGCCTTCGACTGGAAGATGACAATTGTGAAAATTGGCTGAATCGATATAGATCTCAACACGTATCCCTTTTTCTTTTTGTATTCGAATTCTTATATAGATAAAGATACAATAATACGATTTGAATTTTAAGAGATGAAATATTATTATTAATTGTTGTATCTTGTATCGTGCATCGTATTCTATCTTTCATTTTATCGAATATATAAACGATACAGAAAATGTAAAAAGAAAATAATATTTGATATTTACTCTTTACAATGTATATGTATAATTGTAAAAAAAAAAAAGACTTTTATTTCTGATAAAAATAAAGTTTCTAAATTACTATTTCGTACCTCGTCGATTCATTAATATTAATATCAATTGACGAATTGAGATGCAAAATTGTATCAATAATTAAAAAAAAAAAAAAAAAAGAAAAGAAAAGAATTGCCATCATTGAAGAGATCGTTTCGAGAACAATAACTTGTTCAATAAATTGTTAATCATAGTTCGACTCACCTCTTGTGTCCCAGTATCCGCGCACCAGCCAGCTCTCTGTTACGTCGTCATTCGTCAATCTACAGGGCAAACGAAACGGGGAAAGAACGGTTAGTCGGTTAAACCTACATTTCTCGTATCGTTTTGTTCGAAACACGCTGTTTTTCCTCTCATTTTCGAAGCGGCCGCTTTCGAACGGGTTCGAAATCCGTTTAAACATTTAATTCGATGCAACAAGGTCAAGAGCGGCGGCATCGGAATTTATAATAATTTCGATTTTATCGCGGCAAATGTTTCACCGACGGGCATAAATTAATTTCGATGCTCGCGCGCCGGTAGTTTTAATGAATTTCAAGTAATTTCTATTAAATTGCATCACCTTCGCATTATGCCGTCCCGCCGGCCACTTCATATTAAAATCCGCAAATATTTATACAAAATAACAACAAAATGCGATGAATAAAGCGGCGCGGCACAATGCCCGCCGACAAACCGACATGATTATCGAGCCTCGATCGCTAATTACCAGTATATCGAGGTTTCGTTTTCATGGATTTCGTTGTTCGATTCGAAGCGTGTGCGTGTATATATATATGTATGTATATGTGTATATATGTATTATTTCGCGCCTCGATACCGATATATTTATCCACATGCATATATATATATATATAACGTTCGTGTAAGCACGTCGTCTACGCGAAATCGTAATCGTTCAACGGGGAAAAAGAACTTTGTCTCAGGAGGAGAAGTCGCGAACGAGAGTAGTTTTCTCTCTCTCTCTCTCTCCTTTTTAAAAGGACCGTTATATTCATCGTGCATATATGTCGACACGATACAATGGCGAATGTTAGGGTCGGCCCGTGGATGTACGAACTGGTACACACCAGTCGATTCAGAGGAGACGTGCGCGGAGAAAGACAGAGGAAAAAGAGAGAGAAGGAGAAAGAAAGAAAGAAAGAAAGAAAGAAAGAAATCCTTTTCATTCTCGGAGGGAAAAAAAAAGAAAACGGTGGCGAGAGATTCGCGCTTCATTCACGGCCAAGTCTATGGGGCGAAAAAAGACTTCTCCTTCGAAATGTAATTAGCATGTCTTCGCACAACGGGGCGGACAATGGCGCCGTTTAATTAGTATGCGTCTACGAGTCCGTTTCTTTCGTCGCGATCTCGTGTCCTTTATCCACCCACGCGCCTATCCTCACACGACGTGTATGCACATATACATACGGATGAATCGTGTTCACGTGTTTGACGCATCGCGCGTTTACTTCGCCGCATCACTGTCAATACGAGTGCATCCATGGACCACGCGCTCGTGGACGTTATTATCGTTGGGAGAAGCACTCTGTCCCGGCCTGTCACCATCCTTTGAATCGATCTTTCTATGATAAATAGGCGATGGAAGGGTGTATAGCATGTACTCGTGCCTCTCGTGATTCGAAGTTTAGGAGGTGAAATTTTTCGAGGAAGAAAGATCGTGGATTTAATTATCAACTTTTCGCGTTTACACGAAGTTTAATTTTTCGAGGAATTCTAATAATTTCTAAAATAAAAGTTTTCTATATAAAATATGATAGCCCAATTAATTCATATCGAATCGACGAACGGTTAAAAATTATTCCGCCGTTTAATCCCGAGAGAGGGATTGAATGCGAAACATCGATCACGTAAGAATTAATTCAAGATCCTATTATTATCGAAACAAGAATGGATTCGAAGCGAGGTTATTGCGTTCTTCTTTATCTCGACGAAGGCCGTGGACACGTGTTCCCACGGGTGGAAGACTACGCATTAATGGCGGAGCCGAGGCGAGCTGGATGCGTGACGCGCATTGTGACGCATTAACGCGACACGTCGATTCGCAATTACCGTGCGAGAATCGGCTCGCATCCTCGAGACAATTGCGGAGGGTGACGAAGGACGACCAATTGCTACTGAGCCAACAGCAGAAAGCCGCACGATTTCCGGGACGTTAATGTACGTGTATCTGTGCTGCGTGGCACGAAGCTGCGTGCACACGATCGTTCGAGATAAGAGGAGGAGAGGACCTTATCGAGGAGAAGATAGACATTAGAGAACCTCCCTCTTCCCTTTCTTCCACGCCTTTCGTGGAATCGGAGGAGGAAGGAACGAGGAAGGAGGAGAAGGCTACGGGTAAAATCGGTCGGTTTTTCTCGTCCGAAAAAAGAAAAGGAAAAAAAAAAAAAAAAAAAAAAAAAAGGAAAAAAGAAAAATTGAAACGAATATTGAATAACATATTCAATTTCGCGATCTCATCGCGGCCTTCCGGATCTTTCCGCTCGAGTGTCGTTTCGTTCGAGTACTCCTTTCAACGGGGGAATGCATTGTTCGAAACGTAAAAAAATGTTGAGCACGAGCGCGTTTTACTTTTATTATACCGACGTTTTTTTCGAAATTAGTTTCGGAACGATCGTCGAGATAATTTAATGGTATTTCACGGTCTACGCGAGATCGTTTTAAAAAAAAAAAAAAAAAGAGGAGGGGGGAGGAAGGGAGGAGGAGGGGAGCGGGGGAGAGACGGGAGGAGAGAGACGGGGAGAGGGGAAGGAAAAGGAAGGGAAAACGCAATTAAAAGCCGTTTTCAAATTGCGATTGCGCCCCCTCTCCTCCTTTTGCCCTCTATAAAACTATCGTTAATGCACCCACCAACGAGGCAGGGTCTTCAATTAAATGTTCGATGTTATTTTTTTCCGTGGCCGCGACGCTTTTCCCGGCTTCCTTGCGCGATAAATTCGGCCTCGAGCACCAACCGAACGGATATAAACTCGCAATCAAACTCTTTAGACATCCTTCCTCGTTGATAAATTTGAACTGTACCTTGTAATATATTTACACATGCAGTACAATTTAATATCGAATATATATATATATATATATTTTTTATGAATTTTCTTTTCTTTCTTTCCTTTTTTAAATTTATTTTTCCAACGTGCAATATCCATTGTTGTAAATTGTAAATCGTTTGACATTAACGTTATCGTATTTCCTTTGTCGTTAGAAATTATTATCTCGAAATGTCAATTTTATAATACTCGTCTTACTTTATCAGTTAATAGTTTGCGATATAATAATAATAAATAATAAAATCGTCATTTCCGTTATCGTCTAAACTGTGACCACGTTTATCGAAAGCGGTTGTACGTGGTCGTACGAGGCGTTAGCTATTAGGCTATCTCTTTTGCCACAAGTTCACGCTCTTGAAATAATTTTTCACGAGACGTTGCATTTAAACGCCATTTATGATCAACTTTCTACGAATAATTTCTATACACTTTATATACCTACTCACATTTACAGTTACAGTTTTAAATAAAACTATTTAAACAACGTTGAACTCGAGAAACACGAGGATCGAATCGAAGGCGAAATTCGAAATCGAATTTTCGAAAACAAATTCGCGGGAAAGTTGGCGACGCAACCGGATTCGAAATCATTCGATTTGGGTCAATGCCACGATTTAACGCTTGTATCCAGTCTTTTTGGGGGCCGAACGAATATCGAAATTGCACGAATTGCGTGGGGGAGGCGCGACGAACTTTTGCATAATGAGCCTCACGGTCGCGAGGGGCGCACCACCACCACCACCACCACCACCGATCCCCCTCACGTTCACGCACACTGCGATGCGTGCATTAATATTTTCATTTGATTGCGTTAATTAAACTGGCTGCCAATCGATGACCTTTGAAGTTCATCGGCACGCGACACGCGTACACCAATTACCAATATTATTAATTGCGACGAGTTCCCCATTTTCGGACACCGTCCAACACCGATGCTTTTCGCGCCCGCTACCGGATAATTGAAGGAACTCGCGAGAACCTGAGAGTAATCATACACCCACGTATTATTCATTTGTTTCGAAGTTTTCAGAATAGAAATAGAGGTCAAAACGACGCGAGTCAATATCTTTGACAATTAATTTCAAATTTCTTTTTACAATTAAGGAGGAAGGAAATAGTTCTTGAAATACTTTGAGCAACTTTTAGAGAATCTAATTTACACCGATTGGTATATTTTTCTTTTATTATTATTATCTCATAGAAATAGAAAGACTTGAGGGTAAAAATTTGACGTTGAAAGAATTAATATATATAATTCAAGAATATATATTCAGTCGCAGAAAATGAGTTCAGAGACGTGAATTCGATTTTCGTATCTATATCAACAAAAAGTATGCGTGCAATTAATAAATAACGAGAGAATATTTAAAATTCTCGTTTTTAAGGAAATATCCGTTCAGGATTTATTTTTATAAATAATCAAATCTTTCTATTTGCGTGAAATAATAGATATTATAATAAGTTTATTTTAAATTATTTCAAATTAAAAGATTTCTTCGTTGTTTCTCCTTTTTTCTTTTAATTATAGAATCATAAAACGTCTCCGAAATCTTCTCGACTCCATCAATTTTTCATATTTGCCGTATCGATTTCGTAGAAAAATATATCTCACCGATGTATCAACAAAAAGGCACACGAGAACGAGAAATTCAAACGATCCTCGTAATCAACCATTGGTAAAAAGTATCCAATCTCCCAACGATAGTTCCTTGATTCGAAGTTCATCGGAAAATTGGTTTTCCTTCGATTAACTGACCGTAATTAACGGTTGATAACCATCGTGTGTCGATTCAAGGAAGTTCTTTTTTTTTTTCTTTCTCTTTTTTTTTTTTTTTTTTTTTCCATCCAAGAAAGAATATTCTGCGGTTTTCTCTTAATTGTTGGCGGAAGTGAGATATTAAACGGGGGCCGATAAGAGCGATTTCTCAACCGTAAGAGTACGATTTGTCGAACGTAAGGCGTTTTCCAAAACTCTATGAGACGCAACTCTTCCATCCATCACGTTTTCCATCCTCCGTCGCTCGCATATATTTCCCCTTCATTCGATTCCCCTCCCCTCCTCCCCGCAATTTAAATAATAACAGAGCAGAAGATAAAATTTTTAACCGGGAATCCTTTTAATATTTTCCCCTGTTAAGCTCGTGAAATTGTAAAAATGATTATACGTAATGTCGATACTAAACGTCGCTTGTAAGAACTTCTATGGCTTCCATTTT